TCTCTGCTCTTCTCCCTTGATGGTCCTAGGGACCTCCGCTCCTAGACTGAAAAGTTAATCACTCCCCTCCTTGCTATAAAACGTCTACCTTTAGCTCTCTACACCTCTTGTTCTGGCCTTTTCGATATTAAAGAACAGTTCAGGGCTGGCTTTTGGATTGTGAGTATCTGTGCATATGCGTGGCAGAAGAATCCACCAGTGGTGGGGATGGGGGGTATCCATTCTCTCAGGCTCCCCCTCTAGCCACCAGAATGTAGGTGCACAAACAGTGGGGGGGCCAATGAACAGATACCAAAAGAAAAAAAAAAATCAGCATAAAGCAAAACCGACAAAGTGTATTGTCTACCTTTGCTCTGAGGTTCCCATGGTGTTATTCCATGGTGGGTCTGTTCCCCCGCTTGGTCTTGCTGTTTGGTCTCACCCAAATTGTTGGCTCCGGGCCGTGCAGCCAGGCAGATTAAAAAAGTATGTGATTTCTTACTCCCGCTACAATTTCCACTAGCTATAAGCCTTCAAACGTTTTAAATATTCCTAGATATGTGGTTCAGAGTTTTGGAGCTCTGCCCTGAACCCTCTTCACCTGGTCTTCTGTGGTATTGCTGATGGAAAACTACACTGCACCTCTACCTTATCCGTCATCCTCTGGATCTCCCAAACTGTCTGTCCTAATGATGCTTTTAAAAGGGATTTTTTTTTTTATTTCCTGCCTTAAAATATGGAAAAGGAGGACTTGAGCCAAATAACTGATAAACATCTGGCTATAGGCAAATGGTGAAATGGGCTAATTTTCTCAGCATTTCTGTGAAATCAAAGGAATAATGGGTATTTAGTTTCCATCACTCGAAATACTCATAGTTGTGAAATATTAAATCTAGCAGATTTCAAGGAGAATGATTCACAATATTTTGTCAAATTTGACAAAGTATGATTTGCTTTTACAATCTTCTGCCTTGCCCCTAAAATATCTTAAAGACTTGGGACATGAATGTTAACACATGGTATAGAAAAGGATAAAAATGTTTCAAAACAGAATGGTCCTAGGGTGTAGGTTTATTTTCCCTTATTGAGGGAGTAGGGCTGGGAGTCTGAAAATTACTGCTGGAGGCCAAATCTAGGTGGCTTCCTGTTTTTGTACATAAAGTTTTATTAAGACACAGCCACTCCTATTTGTTTACATATTGTCTATGTTTCTGGATAAAGAACAGAGCTTCAGAGTTGCTAGAGGAACTGTATATGGATTTAAGGAGTCCTTGTGGCACAGCGGGTTAAGCATTGGACTGCTAACTGGAAGGGTGGCAATTGGAAACCACAACTTTGGAAGAAAGATGAGGCTGGCTGCTCTTATAAAGATTTACAGCCTTGGAAAGGAACCGTGCTACTCTGTTCTGTAGATGGCTGCGCTATAGAGTGTGTGAGGGATACTGGAAATAGCATGTACTAATTTGCACACATACCATATTTCAGCATACTTATTTTTAGTATATCCAGGAATAGTGGCAATCTACGTGTGTATGTTGGCAATAATTTGTAAATATAGAACCCGATTTTGGCCCACGTACAAACTTTCTCTTGATTTCATGAATTGATAATTTGAGTGATATGTTTATGCATATTATTTTAGCAAAAATTTAATTTTGGTCCAGGTACCATAATACATTTCTATTTGAAACTTTCAAATGAACTTAGGATTGTTGACCTGAGAACATTTTTGTACTTGAAAAATGATTTAAAAATTATGGAAGAACAGCTCAAATTGGGTAATTCACCAGGAGAAAAATTTTTTTTGCTGACAGCAATTAAATAATTAAAAGATTATCTTTACTTGTTGTGTTTTGAACTATCATTTATATTGCCAGCTATAATTTTCCTTATAAATTCTTCACTCCCAAAGGCAAATTTCATTCAAATAGTACTGTATATTTGGATAGTGCTTTACAAAATATTTTCATATGTATATTATTTCAAACAACTCTGAGGAATGCAAGGTAGGAATTACTATTTCCTTTTGTCTGAGTTTCTTAGTGCATGTATGACCAAAGAACCACATGTGGGGGGCTTTAATGAACAGCATCTGATTATCTCAGTTTAGCATGCTAGAAGGTACTACTCTAGGTAAAGGCTCTCTGTGCTCCCTCTGGGGAAGATCTTTGTCTCTTTCAACTTCCGTTCTTTGATTTCATGGTGATTTTCATGTGGCATTTATTTTCCCCATTTGTTCCTTGCTTCTTTGTACCTAATCTTCTTTTTATATCTCAAAAGCCATTTGTTTAAAACACACCATACAGTAATAATGCCCCAATTAACATTACAAAGAAAATTTTATTTCTAAATGGGATTGCAACCAATATTTGTTGTGGTAAGTGCCACTGAGTGGGTTCTGACCCATATAAACCTGAATAGGGTTTCCAAGGAGCAGCTGGTGAGCTTGAACCAACTTATTTTGCGGTTCAAACCAACTTTACGGTCCAGTGCATTACCCACAGCACCATGCCAGGACTCCATAACCAGTAAAGGGGCTAGGATTTAGATACATATTTTTGGAGGACATACTTCAACCCATAACACCTTTGTTTTCAGTTGTGAAAATTGAGGCTGGGGGAATTTAAAATGAGTCTCTCTGGTTACATGGTTAGCTAGGAACAGAGCCAGAGCTAGAAACCTTTAGTATTTATAGTTTGAATGAATTGTCTTTATACTTTGCTATAGAGGCATGTCTTTAAAATATTTTAAAAATTGAAGAATATATAATTTTTATTTATTTAAAAAATGAGGATAAACTTATGCACTTGGTAGAACTGTCATATGGATGGATTATGTAGGAATCTGATGAGCAACACCTAATACTGAGCAGGTTCCTAGCAAATGGGGGGTTGTTGCTATGATACTTCCTCTGGGATTATGTGATTGTTTGTATTTTTCATTAGCCTAAAATATCAATATACCATTCTTAATTTTCCTTTTTCAAAAAAGTATAAGATCCGTTATCTATTTACTATGGTTGCAAAGCTCCCCTCAGCCCATCCCGTGAGCGAGTCGTGCTGAAGTAGCAGATTCGGTTCCTGAGTCACTCACAGATACATTTAAATCAGGACTGTATAGCAAACTCAAATACAATGCACTTTGAGAGTTTATGTTTCAATTTTTTTTTTTTTTTTATTGTCGTGGTATCATTTACTTTGGTAAATTCATATTCCAACTTAAAATGCCCCAAAGCAAATAAAACTTTGTTATAAATCCAAGTAGCATATATATAATAGCTGCATAGTGGAATTGCTATAACAAGCAGTTACATTCATGATGCCCAATACTAAATTTTTAACACTGTACATAGACGACATTAGATACATTGCTTTATTACGATTACAGTTGCTTATGATAGTAACCTTAGTATAATAGCTTTTATGATAGCAATTTTTAAAGCTTTAATAAAATTAGTAGCATTTAACTAATACTGAGTGAAAACACTTGTACATATAGGACATACTTTAGGTCAGATGCTTATACAAGAATAAACACTTAACCATGCTGTTGCATACTTGCTAAAACAAAATCCTCCCCTTTCACTAAATAGCATAAGTCCAGCAAAGCAGAATCTGAAGTAATTGAAACAATTTTTTTATATCCCTATATGATACATAAGATAAATTCACATAATTTTCTTCTGGTTAAAACATTTTTTTTTTTTCTGGTGAAATTAAAAATAAAGAGAGAGAGAGAGCTTGTAAAGGCTCTACTAAAATGCTGACCTATAGCCCTTAGATAATACTTTTGCTGGAAAAGGCATGGTGGGTTATACTCAACCACTATTTCTGCTTATAAAAAAATGAATAGCCTATAAATTTTAATGTTTTAAAATAGGTGTTTATTTCTTAAGGTCTTAAAAGAACTATAGCTGTATTAAACAAATTAGATTGTTTTAAAAACTTTGTAACCATACTTCACTTATTCAGAAATATATTTTCTACCCATATTTATTACACTTTTGAACAATTTAAACACATAAACCCTGCAGATACGCTAAGCTTAGGTAGCAATACTATTATATTACTGTTCATGTAAATTAGAGAAACATTCTAATATTCATATAGCATATTAGCATTAGGCTCGTAACAAGAATTCATATTAATCACGTTGAACTTTGTTGCTGTGGTCAAGTGCCTTTGAGTTGCTTGCAACTCACAGTAACCCTGTATAGCATTTCTAAGGAGCAGCTGGTGAGTTTCAACCACCAACCCTGTGGCTCAAATTGACATTGTGGTCCAGTGTTTATCCCACAGTACCACTCCAAGATATTGAACTTTATAGGTGGAAAAACAGATGGTGAGAGGCTGGATAACTTCCTGTTCTAATAATATAGTAGCTATCTCTTCCATTTGCTTTTCATGTTCTGTTTGTGTCATCAACCTGAATTTTGACGGGGACAGCGTTGAGGGTGGGGCAGGGATACACTTTTAAAGTACTTTGACCAAAGTAACTTTTCTAGAAACCAGAAAGATAATGATTACAAAAGCTTACAGATGTAGATTAACTTAATATTAATTAATTATCAATAGCTTGCTCAGAACTATACAAGGAAAATAACTTTTGAGGCATCATTTTTCTAAGCATACAAATGATTGGAAAAAAAATCTTGGTTAAGTGAGGAGTGAGTCCCTTTAAAATTTAATATAATTCTTTTTTTTTTTTTTTAAGTATAAAAATCTTTCTAGGTCATGGAGAAGTGATGAATAACTCAGTTGCAATGACTCTCATAATAAATTCATATTTACACAAATGATTGCTTTTTCTTTATAGTATTCAGCCACTGAGTGAAATGACAAATATTTAATTAAGTCAGTTTACTCTCTCTGATACAATTTCGAGGAAAAAAGAAGAATATTTGGAGAATAAATAAAATAGAAACCATACTGAATTCCTAGTTTTCTTTTTAAGCCTCCTCCTCCCCATAAATAGATCCATAATAAGACTCAGAGAAACTTTGTCTACTACTGTTTTTTTCTTGAAGAAAATCATAGATTGATTATAACCTTTTCCACAAGCACTTAATCACTTACTTTCAGGGATGGAAGTGTTAGCATGGCCTACCAGGTCCAGCCTAAAGACATTTACAAATCATGTCAAATGTTGTCTCCGGGTTAATTAGCTGTTGATGGAGGTTTGATAGAGGGGATACTGCATGATCTTCTCATGATAAGCCTGATTTCTATATCTGGTAGATTCTCCTGTTTAGTCTGTAAACATCCTTCATCAGTGGCTGCTAAGTGAAGATCAAATCGAAGAGAAACTGACTTTTTCCTTAATGGCGGGTTATCTTTAAAGAAGGAACCTTCCCATCCTTTAATAACCTCATCAACTTTCTCTGTCCTGAAATGATAAAATAGGTCTTTCTGTATAAAGAAGTATGGGTGCATTTACTATATATGTGTGTGTATTTAATACACACACACACTCACATATAGAATTTATAAGGAGCTTCCAAAAGTTTGTGTTAAGTGGAGTTACAAGACAATGGAAATTTTCCATGAACTCTTTGAAACCCCCTTCTAGATGCCATATCTATGAAAAATACATCAAGAAAACCGTATTATTTATAGTTTGGGGAATTCATGTAGTTTATATAATTAAAAATCATGAATATAATTTCTGTGACATTTCTATGGAATTCTCATATTTTAGTTGTATTTTTAGGAAAAATGGTGAAGTAAGGATTGAGTACTCAATCTGACATACTGTTTATATATAATACACAGGTTGTCAGAGCAGATTAAAATTCAGAATACAGGTATGCATTAATTAACATCTATGACACGTGCTGTGAAATAGGACGTTATGTGATTTGGATGTTGTGCAGACATCATGTTGAAACCTCCTTGTTGCTGGAGCCGCTGGCGTGACTGGAGGTAGTGGTGCAAACGTAGAGGGAGAAGACGTGAGTGGGGCAGGAGCAGAGTAAGAGCAGCTCGTGCTGATCGCTGTTCACCTACCTGAGTGACAAGAGCAGCTTTACCCAGCAGCCACCTCAGCCACCACCGGCTCATGGGACAAAGTCCAAGAACCCTGGTCCATGGGCAACGTGTTACTTGCCTATATTCTCTGTCTTACTTGCCTATATGCCACCCATGATCCACTGCTGTAGGAGTCTGGGTATGGAGACTTTAAAACCATTGCTGTTAAGTGCTTTCTAGTCGGTTCTAACTCTTGGCAACCCTGTATGGGAATTCCGAGGAGCAGATAGTAGGTTTGAACTCTGAACCTTGTGGTTAGTAGTCAGTGCTTATTTTACAGCTCCATACCTGGACTCCCTTAAAATCATTATTGTTAAGTGCCTTCGAGTCAGTTCCAACTCATAGCGACCCTGTATAGGAAAGTGACTGGTGGGTTTGAACTGCCAAACTTGTGGTTCAAAACCGACTTTTTGGTCCAGTACTTATACTAATAAACAAAACGAGAGCTCTTTTCCCTTTAAAACAAAACAAAAAACTTTATGGGACCACAGATGAATATATAGTTCCACCTTGTCCAAATGGATGTTAAGTGACGCATACCTGTACAGTAAAAGTGTGTTTGAAAACATCCAAACACAAATGCTAAATTCCTGAGATTACACAGTTGAAATGAACTGATTTAAATATGTTTATTATTACTTCTTAGTCAAAAGAGTTTCACTTACTGTACAGTGCCATGTGCTTCAGAGCTCTCCTTCACGATGTTTCCATTTACTGTTGCCTGTTTAGTTACTGTTCCCACTTTTTCATTTTCATACTTTTGTGAGACTTTTGTTGAATAAGCTATTTCATTTATAATGGCTGCAAAAATGTTATTTATAAGTGATTACATTGCATTATTCAAGTACTGTTCACAGTCAACTTATGTGTTAAATTTTATTTGACTACTGCTGAGTTTTGCTTCTTTACTTTATATTGCTGTTGTTGGTTGCTGCCCAGTTGATTTAGACTCAGAGCCATCCCATGTGACAGAGTAGAACTGTCCTATAGGGTTTTCTTGGCTATAATCTTTCTGGAGGAGTCTTGGTATGGCACTTTAGGATAAGCTAGACTGCTAACTGCAAGTTAGATGGTTCAAACCCACCATCTGCTCCTTGGAAACCTTATACAGGGTCAGTATGAATCAAAACCGACTCAATGGCACCTAACAACAACAACAATCTTCATGAAAGCAGATCACCACATCTTTTTCATGTTTCATTAGGTGGGTTCAAACCTTTCAGGTAGCAGTGTTTAACCATGTGAGTCACCAGGGCTCCTTCCTACTTTTGATTATTTAATTTCATTATAATCTCTGTAACTGGAACGTCATTTCTCAAGTTAAGTTTACGTATCTCAGAAACTCACCTGAAGGTAAAACAAAACCAATTCTACTTGTGGTAGGTTTTTGGTCTTTTTGCCCACCTTGGATAGAACCGTAATATCTGAAAATGGAAAGAATTATAAGAGAAACACTTAAAAACAAATAATGGAAACAACCTAGATCTCCATCAACAAAAGGAAGAAGTAATAGTAGCATGCTATGGCCATTTTCATACAATGGAAATACTATTCAGAGTGAACATAAATGAACGAATGGGTTATGGATGAATCCCTCTAATGTAACATCGAGCTAATTTTCTAAGTGCCAAAACATTATGCAAACAATTCCATTTTGTTTAGAGGTATATATGTATTAGTATAAAGGAATGTAAAGGAGCTCTGGTAGTGTAGTGGTTACTAATCGGGCTGCGAACCTTAAGGTCAGCTGTTCGAAACTACCAGCTGCTCTGCGGGAGAAAGATCAGGCTTTCTACTCCCGTAAAGATTTACACCCTCGGAAACCCTGTACAGGGTCGCTATGGGTCGAAACCGACTCGACGGCACTTAACAACAACAACATAAAGGAATGTATGGGGCTGGTAAACATCAAATTCATGAGCCAGAAGCAGGGTATGGAAGGAAGGAAGATGAGATGTGGTGGGGTGTGTCATTTGGTGCCTGGGGGACTTCAACTTCATTGGAAATGTTTCACTTCTTAAATTAGGGGAAGTAGATACTGAGAATTCATTACATTTTTCTTTATAACTTCTAGGACATCTTACATATAGCACAATAAAAAAATTTTAAATTGTACTATAGAAAGTATTAAAGCATTAGTTTGCAAATATCTTAAATTATTAGGAATTAATGGGCTAATGTGCTGGACTGCAAGGTTGGTTTGAACTGCAAGGTCGGTGGTTCAAGCTCACCACCTGCTCTTCGGAAACCCTATTACAGGGTCACAGAACCCACTCGACGGCACTTAATTTTATATAACAACAACAATTTTATATAACAGTTCATATAGCACCTGGCTTCATACGATAAACACTGGATTGTGAACCACAAGGTCTGTGGTTCAAACTTGCCCGCCACTCCGCAAAGAAAGATGAGGCTTTCTGCTCCCACAAAGAGTTTAAAAAAACCTCAGAAACCCTACACAGGGTCGCAATGACTCAACGACACTTAACAACAACAACACAGCACCTTATCAGGCACCGAGCACTTCTTTAAGCCCTTCGCAAACAACTCATTTAATTCTCAGTGTTACCCTATGAGGTTTGTAATATTTTTATTACTCCATTTTTACTGATAAGAAAACCGAGACAATTTGCCCCAGATGAAAGATTTAGTGAATGTCAAGAGTTTTTGCACTGTTGTAAACTCAGAATTCTGAAGCAAGCAAGAATAAAAGTCTCTTTTTATGGGAACAGATTGGCCAGGAAGTTCTGCGGTGTTCAGAGTTGTATGATCTTACTTACTGCCGTTAAGTGCCGTCAAGTCGATTCCGACCTATAGCGACCCTGTATAGGGTTTCCGAGGAGCAGCTGGTGAGCCTGAACCGCTGACCTTGCGTTTGAAAGCGACTTTGCAGTTCAGCGCCTTAGCCCACCGCACCACCATGATCTTTAGTTGTTATGTACCGTGGAGTCGGTTCCGACTCATTTACCGAGGCTGTAAATCTTTACGGGAGCAGAAAGCCTCATCTTTCTCCTCCGGAACAGCTGGTAGTTTCTATACTACAGTGCCACACCAACTCTTGTTTTATTATAGACGCTGAGTGAGTATGGCATGGGGATGGTGGGTTTTTAAGATTTAATTTTTTCTGAGCGCATCAAGAGCGACCTTAGTGGATCTGTTTTGCTGGCGGCTTGTCGTTAACTATATGGAACTTCTTGTTGTTGTTATGTGCCGTGGAGTCGGTTCTGACTCATAGCAACCCTGTACAGGGTTTCCAAGGCTGTAAATCTTTACGGGAGCAGAAAGCCTCATCTTTCTTCCGCGGAACAACTGGTAGTTTCGAACTGCTGACCGTGAGGTTCGCAGCCCGATTCGTAACCACTACGCTAACTAGGTACCTGATTTCTTCCTTTTCTAGGAGGCGCCGGTAGGTGGCTATTTCCTGTTCAAGCCTCATCTTCGTGTTGAGAAGCATCTCGTGCTCCTGAAGCTGTCTCTCGATGCCACACCTTACTTCCTGCAGTTCTTTTTCTAGTCCTTCAATCACAGATTCCAGGTCTTGCAGCTGCGTTTGGTAGTGTTGCTCACTGGCATGTAGGGAATTTTCAAGGCCCCTTTCCTGTGTTAGATAGGCAATTAGCAGCGAATCAGTAAAAAAATAAAAAGAAGTGTTTTTGAAATCTGATTTGCATTATTTTCAAATGGGTTACCATTTTTCTGAAAAGGCTATAATAACTGTACCTCATTTATGCAAGAGATACGTTCCTAAAGATTTGTGTGCTCCTAAATTGAAAACAAAAAACAAAAAAACCCAACTATACCAAAAAACATTTCAAAGGAATCTAGTGGTAATTCTTATGTCAAAAATATCCTCTGCAGTTAAATTCATTTATTGTCATGCTGATGAATCTACTTTCTTCAATATTAACATTCAGAGTAGACTGCTTATAAAGACACTTAGGAAGTACTATTAACAGTCTCCAATGGCATGCATGAGTTCCTACTGTTGACACTTGGGATACAACAAAGACTCTACCTTCCCACTTCAACAAGTAGAGGACTGCAGGGTGATAAGCATGTATGACTTCATTTTTATAGGCATGTACTACACCTTGTGTGACTTGATTACAGCCACTGCCATGATGGAGGTGGAATATTGGAACTAGGATCAGGAATAGAATTCAGTATCATTGGCTTTCAGTCTCACTGGAAAGTAATAGACATTCATTCTTTCCCTCCCTTAATCCAATAGCACCTGGGGACTCCAGGGCCCAGTTCCTTTTGAGAGCTTTCTCACCACAGCATGGAGAGATTCAATTTCCACTTGCAAGTGGTGCCACTGACGTCGGGCTTCCTTGAGCTCTGCTTGAGCCGCCTTTAAAGCCTCTTCATCTTTGTCCATTTTTTTACTTATGTCTTCTTCTAGCTGTAGGAAAGCCAACCACAGTAACAAAGACACAAAGAGCATTCTTTACAAAAGGACACACTTAAACGCAATTAGAGAAAAATAGTGAAAGAACTGAATAGTTTTCTTTCCCTTTCAATTGTTGGATTACAAATGTGCGTTCTAGTATTTGCTGTTGTTCGGTGTCATCAAGTCAGTTCCCACTCATAATGACCTCATAGGGTTTCAGAGAGTGGCTGGTGGTTTGAACCACCGATGTTTCGGTTAGCAGTCCAATATCCTACAGTGCCACGCCAGAGTTTAATTACTAATTATTTGAGTACGTAAGCAAGCTAATTGCATTCTCAGCCTCAGTTTTCTCAGGGCCTCAAAGTTCCTGCTAACTATGACAGTCTGAAAAAATACATCTATTTAAATGAAAAGAAAGTTTGCAGTTTTAAAATTTGTGATCTCTGATTCTGGGACCAGGTGTATTGACATGGAGCTAATACTGCTAGAGAATATGTTATTAATAATTTGAAGTTTACATTACCATAGGCATTGTTGTTGTTAAGTACTGCCAAGTTGCTTCAGTCTCATAGCCACCTTGCAACGGGTTTCCCAGAGTGACTAGTGGGTTTGAACTGCCGGCTTGTGGTTAGCAGTCCAGTGCTGATTCTACAGCGCCACACCAGGCCTCACTGGATCTAACTTGGGCTTCTGTATTAAGAGTACCCACTCTGGTAGCGTAGTGGTTACGAATCGGGCTGCGAACCTTAAGGTCAGCGGTTCGAAACTACCAGCCGCTCCGCGGGAGAAAGATGAGGCTTTCTACTCCCGTAAGGATTTACACCCTCGGAAACCCTGTACAGGGTCGCTATGGGTCGGAACCGACTCGACGGCACTCAACAACAACAACAACAACTACTGATTTACCTTTTCAAAATGGACTTTCTAGAAGGCATGGGTATCTGGGTAATAATGAAAAATGACATTAAAAAAATTGTTTTCTACATGTCCTTGTTAAATAACAAGTTGAATATTTCATATTCAGCTTTAACTATTCTTATGCGGATGTTGGAATTAAACGGAAGTCTCTTTTGATAGAATTCTTAACAGTTAATCCCAAGTAGGAGCAATGTATGGAATTACAGCATTTGGAAATAAAAATGACAACTTCTTAATGTTCTTCTTAAAATACACTTAAAGATTAATTTGATGGCATAATGGATTTCTTTCTTTTCTTTTTTTTTAAAGGAATCTTTGGAGTAAATGGAAGCCTGTGGACTTTTTTTTTAGGGCAAGGTGTTAGAGAACAAAGTTCATGTTTCTTTTGGTTTGTTATGTTACTTTTTCATAGTATTTACTTGGCAAAGTTCAGATACTGGAGCAACTACAAAAGAGAATGTAAAACAATTGAAAATATGAGAGCCTAAAAGTGCAAGTATCTAGCTTTGTTTTGTCTTGTCTTGTTTGGTTTTGTGTTTGGAACTGGCATTTCAGTTTGTGTAGTAGCCAGGTTCCAAAGATGGTCACCTACGAACCACATATCTCAACATTCAGGTTCTTGTGTGGTCCTCCTCCACATTGACTCTGGGTTGACCTGTGTTTTGTTTTAACCAACAGAATGTGACAGGAGTGATGTCATGTCAGTTGTATGAGTAAGCCTTGAGAAGCTCTGACAACTTGTACTTCGGTGCTTTGAGAGCCCTGGGCCACCATGTAAGAAGATTAGATACCTTGGTGAAGAGATCATGTAGACAGGCAGGCCCACTTGTCCCAGCTGAACCAGTCTTTTAGCAAGCCCCTGCCAATGTGCTAGACACATGAGTGAGCCACTGTGGACAGTTCATCATGCCTCTAGTTAATTGCAGTCCTAGCCAACATCATGTGCAATAGCAGAATCACCTCAATGAGCCCATTCAATGCACAGAATCATGAGAGAGAATAACAGTGTTGTTGATTTTCTGTTTGTTTTTTGTGGGGGCTAATTTGCTACACAGCAATAGGTAACTAAAACAGTTTATGCTTCTTTATTTCATAATAATTAATTGGGATAGAATTCTTGAATTTATTCCAGTTGGCTTCCTGAATTTTTTGAAAAAAACAAAACAAAAAAAAACCTAACAGTTTTTTTTTTTTTTTAAAGTTCTAAGGACTTGAAATAAAATATAATCTTGCCTTTTCATTTGAGTTAATTCACGTTAGCATTGTGACTTGTCAATTCTTATTGCAAAATAAATACTGATTTGGTTAATTATCCTCATAAATTGTTACTCATCTTTTTCTTCTGAGTGAACTATTCCAGTACATAGTACAAATACACTAGTGTCTTTGCTTAGTCCAAAATGCTGATCATTTTTTATAAAGACTGAAAATGTTAGCCAGATATAAATATTACTAAAAATGAGTTGTTAATGAAGTAAAGGACAGTGAGTTCCTAGCAATAATTCCCCCCCCCCCCAATTTGGAAATGGTCCTAGGTAAACTCTTTGCTGTAATAAAACTTGTAATAGAACTCAAACTCAGATTTCACAGGTAAACTCAAACGAAACAAAAACCATCTAAATGTCTGAATCTTTGTTTCTAAAGTGCTTATTTACAAATTTGTTTAAAGACTTGAGACGTGAAAATCCCAAGGTGATTGTCACTTTAAAAGTAAAGAAGTCATAAATCAGGATTTAATCCTTATTGAAGCTCTCTCCCTGTTTAAAAATGCTGAAATAGTTCATCCTTTGTGCTAGAAATAAGCATCTCTGATAACACATAAGCAAACATCGGAAATCGATTTGTGGAGTTTTGATACTCTTAATTTAGATGATTGTCTCTGAATGCCATTTCACATATTGAGATGATCTCTATTGATAACAATCCCATATAAAACGGAGCTCATTAAAAAACAATGATGGAGACTGTTTAGAAATATTTTACCTAGTTTTATCTCCAGAGTGTGCAAGCTAATAATTCTCCCTATAAAGCTCATCATTTTAAAGATGCTATCTAAATTACCTCTATAAACAACCCCATAGTATCTTTGAAGGGTATTTGAAATGTTTCCTTTCTGAAGGATGCTTAAAGGGGCAGGAGTGCACCATTTTCTTGAATGTTTTGTTAATAATAGTCTCCTCCTAATTTGCACAAAAATCAAATGCATCAGCTAGCAGTTGTTGAGTGGCATTTAACAGTATAATTATAGCATTTCCCCCTGTAGCCTCAGTCACATTGCTGTAAAACCTAAATTCCTTCCCCTGTATCTGCTGCATTGAAAAGGAAATACTGTACCTCAGAGAGGCCGGGACAGGAATTGGTTAGACAGGGATAGCCTCCTTATCCTGGAAGTGCCTGTCTGTATGAAATCATTACCTGGATCCTTCTTGAGAGCACGGTCTCTATCTGATTTCTGGTGAGGAGCTTTTCATAGTTTGCCCTGATCTCATTGAGTAGCTGGGACAGTTCCATTCTTTTCCCATCCTCCACCTTGGCTAACTGAACCTAATCGAAAGGAGGAGCTGCCGCGGCAGAACCTGCTCTTCCTGCGTAGAGGGCTGAGAGAGAGTGTCCTGTGGAGCCTTAAAGATGCAGCGTTCTTTTTTTTAAGAGGCTCAGAAATTCCCGTGTTTCTAATAAATTATGCAAATATATGGTAAACTCTTCGCTCCTATTGCTGGGATAGCAAAGGGTCAGACTTCTCACGATGGAAAAGTGAAAACGTCCTTAGTATTCCAGAATTGATTGATTCCCTGTGAAATTGAGCACTTCAGGGAAAAAAACCACACATACATTATTTCATTCTTCGTATAGAAAATGGAACATAAAAAGAAAAGAGCAAAGAAAGACGGTTATGATTAATTTTCACAAGATAGTGCATGGAAATAAATCTGGATCCAAAACATGACAGTTACATTTATTTGTTTATTTTATTTCTTATCATTTGGGTTATTTAAACAGAAATGCTATGGTGGGTCATTAGAATATGTTGTAAATGAAAAATATTCTTTAAATAATTATTTGTTATTATGTTATTAAGTGCCGTTGAGTCAGTTCTGACCCATAGCGATCCTGTACAGGGTTTCCGAGGGTGTAAATCTTTACGGGAGTAGAAAGCCTCATCTTTCTCCCGCAGAGCGGCTGGTAGTTTCGAACCGCTGAACTTAAGGTTCACAGCCCGATTCGTAACCACTACGCTACCAGAGCTCCTTTAAATAGGGTGTATTCATTGATGTGCGATTTACTGTATAGTTACTCATCCACTAGTAAATATATGTTGTTGTTGTTGAGCGCCGTTGAGTCGATTCCGGCTCATAGCGACCCTGTATAGGGTTTCCAAGGAGCACCTGGTGAGTTTGAACATCCGACCTTGCAGTTCAAATGGCTTTGCAGTCTGGCTCACTAACCCACAGCGCCACACCAGGAGTCCACTAGTAAGCATAGGAAGTCTTACATTTATGCAGTTCTTCTAAATCTAAGAAGCATGTTTTTATCTACTATTTATACGATCTTCACAATTCCTTTCATTTTGTGACCTGCAAAGATGAGAAGAATAAGAGGGCTTAAGGTATCTTGCCCAAGGCCATAGGGCAGCATGAAGATATCATTGGAAGCAGATTTTTTAATCCTTGAACTATAAGGAGCTCTGGTAGCGTAGTGGTTACGAATCGGGCTGTGAACTGCAAGGTCAGCAGTTCAAAACTACCAGCTGTTCCCCTGGAGAAAGATGAGGCTTTCTGCTCCCATAAAGATTTACAGCCTCGGAAACCCTGTACAGGGTCATTATGAGTCGGAACCGACTCCACGGTACACAACAACAATATTCAATAGGAATTGCTGGTGTGGTGCTGTAGGATCAGCACTGGACTAAACCACAAAGTCGGCAGTTCAAATTCACCAACTGCTCCTCAGAAACACTATATAGGGTTGCTATGACTTGGAACCAACTCTACGGCAGTTAGCAACAACATAGTGTTTTACCTGTCTGCCTCTGCATTCTCTCTCTCCACTGAAATTCCTTGTTTAATCTGGCCAGCAAAGTTGCTAAATGTAATTGAAATCTTTTTGAGAATGTATCTGTTATTATTACTTATAGAGTGGCTTGGCTGAGATTTTCTCTGCTGTGCAGTTCTGGGAATAATCAGGCTTGGACTGTCATAGGACCTTTGTATATACATTGTTGGTGTTCAGTGCCTGCCGTTGAGTCAGTTCTGACTCATAGTGACTTTATACAGGGTTTCCTAGGAGCAGCTGGTGGGTTGGGTTTGAACTTCTGACCTTGTGCTTCGAAGTCCAGTGCTGATCCTATGGTGCCGTACCAGAAGTCCATTGTATATATACCAGGTTCTTGTAATTTCTGAATTAACTAATTGAAGACTAAATCATTCCATACAGGGCATTTCCACCTTTCTTTCCAAATAAAGCAGGCCTACCCACAGCCCCTGCTGAGAGGAGAGCTTTCCGGTAATTGCCTGTATTCTGTGCAACCTGACCCAACCTTCTGCACATCCTCCCCCTACCCAGTCAGCTGCAATTGGTTAGTTTGTTGACTGAGGAACAGCCAATCCACAGGTTGGGCAGAGGTCTATGAAGTAGCCTGATGCAAAAAGCTCTGACTAAAGATCACTGATGCTTAACTAAACATCATTCTCGGTAGCTGTATTACTCTAGAAGCTTCAGTCCAATACCCTGGAGTGACTGAGTTCAATTAATAACCACTCCAGATAAAGAAAGAGAAAAGCCTTTATTAATATTCTTAGGACGTCAACTACCAGAACACCGCACAGCAAACAAGTTGCTTTAAGTGGTGTTCAGCTGTCTCTTTGTTACAAGCACTTTCTATAATCCTCCTTCATAAGTCTAGTCATGTACTACATGCGAGGGTCAGGGGAGGGGGACTACAGTTCTAACATTCACACTAAATCACAAGGTGGTCATGAAGCCCCAGTAAACATCTCAAAGGAGGACACAATGAACTGTCCTGGTGCCTGTTTGTCCAGGTGGTCACTCCTTATCAGAATAGAAACCAGGATCCAGGCAGAGTCAGGCAATTATTAACATTTCAATCTAAAATAGAAAAAAGAAACCTAGACTTTTAAGGAACAAGGACAAGTTGGGGAACGTGTATAATATGCTTTCAGGAGGCACTTGGTTATATTTACTCTTAACCAAGCAAAACAGTTGTGCTCTCAAAATGACTGCCTTTATGTTCTCAGTTGGGACTGAAAAATCGGAAGAGAATCAGTCATATGAGAGTAGAAGAGGGAAGCAAGAAAACAAAGAATTACACTCTTGTTACTTTTGGCAGCTCTTGCTAATCTTGACCTAAAATATAGAGAGCTGAACTAAGTTCAACAGAGGCTGGCCTTGGCAATCTGCTTCTTCCATGTCGCTGCTCTGAAGCTCTCCGATAGAAAGATGATGGGAGCCAGAATGCAGATAATATATGCAGTTTTAAAGTAGCCTAGTAAAAGCTAGCATCTAGTAAAGGAGTTCTGGTGTGCAGTGGTTAAGCACTTTGGTTCGAACCCACCAACAGCTCTGAGGTGGTCAGTGGTTCTAAAGGTCAGTGGTTCGAACCCACCAACAGCTCTGAGGTCAGCTTCCTTAAAAATGATTGTCTTGGAAACCCTATGGGCCGTTCCAGTTCTTCTATAAGGTCTCTGTGAGTCGGAATGGACTTGATGGCAGCAGGTTTGGGTTATCTAGTATAAATCTCTCTAGTCATTGTTGTTGTCGTTAGGTGCCATCGAGTCGGTACCGACTCATAGTGACCCTCTGCCAACAGAATGAAACACTGCCCGATCCTGAGCCAACCTCGCTACTATTGCCATGCTTGAGTCCATCGATGCTGCCACTTAGCCAATCTATCTCGCTGCGGGTCTTCCTCTTTTTCTCTGACCCTCCACCTTACGAAACATGATATCCTTCTCCAGCGACTGGACTTATCAAAAGATGTAAACAAAACAGATAAAATTAATTTTGGTAATAGCTTATATTTAACCTGAAAGCTTATTAATGAGCCGTAGAACACTTCGCATATAATGTTGTTATTGTACAAATACCCAAACCCTACTGCCATTGAGTCCATTCTGACTCAACAGCGACCCTGCATTGGGTTTCTGTGATGGTAAATATTTCTGGTAGTAGAATACCTCATCTTTCTCATGAGGAATTTGAAATGTTGACCTGTGGTTAGCAGTTCGATGCTTATCCTATAGTTTAAATCCTTTCTCCTCAACGTAGGCATTTGTTAGAAACTTAGAATCTCAGTCCCCATACTAGGCTACTAGATCAGAAGCTGCATTTTAACAAGATCCAGGTGATTTGCATGCACATACAAATGTGAACAGCGGCACTTGAATATTCCTGCACATTGTAATCACCTGGGAAGTTAAACAAAGTTGTAGTGCCAGAGATTCTGATTTAGTTGGTCCGGGCTATGGCTAAACACCAGAATTGAAAAACAAACAAATAGACAACAAAAGTCTAATATCAGCAAAGTTTGAGAACTGCTGTTATAAAATATATCCTTTCCACTCATTTCCCTCTCTTTCTTCATGCAGAAGAAAGGAGTGAAGTTAACTGTCTGAAATGACTCATGCATCAAACATTGTCAAATCCCAGTATTCGTGCTATAGTTGGCACAATTCTGAGTTCATAACTTTAATTTTTCTCTAACAAATTACATTTTATTTTGAGCTCCCATATGCAGAGGTTATGTATTACATCTTATCAACTGGACTTTCCATCTTTTCTCCAACGCATTGCTTCTAGGTTTGGGGGTAGCTTATGGAGCTGTGTTTCATTGTGCTGTGCATAGGGTTGCTTTGAGCTGGAGCTGACTCGACGGCACCTAACAACCTGTTGTTGTTGTTAAGTGCTGTCGAGTCGATTCCTACCCATAACAACATGTAGCTGTGGCTAAAATCCAATCAAACCCACTACCATAGAGTTGATTCTAGTGCATAGTGAAGCAGCCCTAAGTAGGGTCTCCGAGGCTGCAAATCTTTAAGGGAGCAGATGTTACATCTTTCTTCCAAGGAGAGACTGGTAAGTTTGAACACCTGACCTTGTGGTTAGTAGCCCAGTGCCTAACCCACAGCGCCACCAGAGCTCCTTGGCTGTGACTAAGAGAGCATATTGCCTTGATGCCATTTGTCCATGCATGTGTTTACTAAGCCAGTTTACCTGTCCCACAAGTATCCAGCTGCTCTATCCCATACTCCTTCTGTGCTTGAGACTTTGAAATTATTGTGGTACTTCAGTGTACCAGTGACATGGAAATATGAGACAGATTGTCAGTGACTTCATTGCCCAGACACACTGTGTAGCCATAACCTATTTGGCTCTGCTTCCTTTCCTAGGACTATCATTTAGGATGCAGGGCACAGTGTTTGTGAGCAGCCAGGTACCCCAGACTTCCCTCAAGTTCTGCTATTTTGCAGGGACTCTGTCTCAGCAGCAGAGCGTGGGGCTCCTGGTTCTGGTACCCAGCTATGCCCTCGTCTCATCACTCGACCTTTGTCCTCTC